AATAAAAGAAAAAAAAAGAGAGAGAAAAAAAAAACAATTTATTAATTGAGAGAAAAAAAACAATAATATTGATTGACTGCCATTTTATTCGGCAACACGTTACTCATGGTACTGTCCATCTCCATCCGATCTCTTCTGTTGATCAACCTGCTGATATCTTCACCAAAGCTCATTCTCCTGGCCGCTTCGTTGACCTTGTCTCCAAACTCAAGTTGGTTGATGTTTGTCCTCCTTGAGTTTGAGGGGGGCTGTTAATAATGTTAATATGTTATACTATGCCTATAAACTATACCTATAATTTAATACTATTGATCTGTAATTGATAGTTGTTGCTAGTTGTTGCTAGCCTAGCAGATAGTTCTTTACACCTTCACACCTTCTTTACACCTTCTTTGCCTTTTGCTTTCATTTGTATATTTCCTTTGTTCATCATTTTGTCTTGTAAATCATCTCCTATATAATGGAGGTTCCATTTGGTTGCAAATACATCAAACACACAGAGCTAATATTTGCTCTCTCAATCTCTCTCAATTTCTTATATAGCCAAAAAAATAACATGCCAACTGAGGCCTTATTCATATACTTTCTAAACTGAACAAATTCATTTTCTAATTGAGGGATGTGTTTGTATCCTCCCAAAAATTAGAGAATGTGAACGGAGGTAATGTCAATGACTTGCTTTACATTTTAATAACATGGAGTGGAATAATTAGAAAGGACAATCAAAAAAAGAAAACTTTCCTCCTTACCCGTTCATTCCCTTTATCTCCCAAATAATAAATTATTTCCTTTTCTTTTTAATTTGCACCCTTTAACCTACCTTTAGTATGAAGAAATGGAATAAAATGATGTGTGAACGGAATATAAAATTGAATTCTTATTTCACTTGTAACAATGAAATGACAATTTTCGTTCTTATGTTGATTATTCTACTAAACTAATGAAATAATTGTTTATTTATTTATTATTACATCAAACTAGTAACTACCAATCTAAACTCGTGTAACTTATGATTGTGTTCGTATTGTGGAGGTGATGCTGGAGACAGCAACATCAAGTAGTTGAAATAGTGGTTGAAGTGTGGTGTAATGTGATGTGGTAGTGGTGGTAGTAATTGCAGGATAGTGACAGTGGCGGTGTTAGTAGTGATAGGGTTGAGGTTGTAGCAATAGCAGTAGCAGTGGTAGTGATGGTAAATGATAGTAGCAGGACGGTAGTAATGGTGGTATATAGTAGCAATGGTGGCATTGTGGTGGGGTGGTGGTAATTGGATTGTTAGGGGTGTAAGAAAAACCGATGGAATAGAATTGACTGTTAAATCTGTTTTGGTTTTGAAACTTTTTATATTGATATAAACCGAAATATTATATTCACGTACTTCTGTATTGTAATCCTTTCAACATTAGATTATAAATAACCAATATTACATATTTCATTAAGGGAGGGATGTGTAGAACAACTTTCATACTTTGCTTTATATTCATTCTCAATATGAAATTCTTTGAGGTTTTATTATTCACTATGCTTGGTTATCATTTTTCAAAAATACTTTTCAGAAAATTCTACACTCTTATTTTCCGTGTTTTTTTGTTTTTACTGATTTTTTTTAATATTTTGAGCATTTTTTTTAATTTTTAGACATACCTAATATAAATATACCTAAAAAGTAAAAAAAAAAATTGAAAAAAAACCTTTTAAAAATTCACTAAATACCAAAAATATAAAAAAATATATATATATGAGAATTCAATACATTTTTTATATTTTTATGCATTTATTAATTTTTAAAAATATTTTTTCACAAATTTTTTACTTTTTAGATACATCTAAGTAAGGTGCATCTAAAAAAGTAAAAAAAATATTTAAAATATTAAAAATAAAAAGACTCTTGTTGATCTACATGCAGAAGGAAACAGCTTACAATAACCTACCATTAGTATGAAGAAATGGAATAAAATGATGTGTGAACGGAATATAAAATTGAATTCTTATTTCACTTGTAACAATGAAATGACAATTTTCGTTCTTATGTTGATTATTCTACTAAACTAATGAAATAATTGTTTATTTATTTATTATTACATCAAACTAGTAACTACCAATCTAAACTCGTGTAACTAATGATTGTGTTCGTATTGTGGAGGTGGTGCTGGAGACAGCAACATCAAGTAGTTGAAATAGTGGTTGAAGTGTGGTGTGATGTTATGTGGTAGTGGTGGTAGTAATTGCAGGATAGTGACAGTGGCGGTGTTAGTAGTGATAGGGTTGAGGTTGTAGCAATAGCAGTAGCAGTGATGGTAAATGATAGTAGCAGGACGGTAGTAATTGTGGTATATAGTAGCAATGGTGGCATTGTGGTAGGGTGGTGGTAATTGGATTGTTAGGGGTGTAAGAAAAACCGATGGAACAGAATTGACTGTTAAATCTGTTTTGGTTTTGAAATTTTTTGTATTGATATAAACCGAAATATTATATTCACGTACTTCTACATTGTAATCCTTTCAACATTAGAATATAAATAACCAATACTACATATTTCATTAAGGGAGGGATGTGTAGAACAACTTTCATACTTCGCTTTATATTTATTCTCAATATGAAATTCTTTGAGGTTTTATTATTCACTATGCTTGGTACACAATTTTATTGACATTTCTATTGGACATAAAAAGTTACAATAAGTGCGGGTAGCGTGTAGTTCTTTACATAGTCAGCTTTACCAAAAAAACATGGACCTCCAAATTAACTACAAAGAATGCTGGTTAACGTTCATTAGCTATCACCATCTATTATGATATCACTAAACTAAACTAGCAAATCAAATCCCCTTTAAATCTAAAATTTTAAAAAAAATGTTTGACCACTTTTTCAACCGGAAAAATGTTGTCATTTTGTTTGATTTAATACAGCAGGAACCAGAATATCCTCCAAGCATCAGCCCGTGTGGACCGTTGAGTGCTGTTTCTTGAGGACTCTATTTGCATTGGCAAGATACTGCCATCCTTGATTTCATCTGATTATGACAGCTGTTCCACAGTATTACCGGCTCAAGGCACACCATCAAATTTCCGAGCTGCATAGCATACACAACAAAGATTCATCAGTGAAATAAAGTTGCATGCTTGCAATGGGAATAGTAGGAGGTCGAAATTTATGTAATTTGCTTTTTTTTCTTTCTTTATTATTATTTTTTTTTTCTTTTGAACTGAAAGCTTATGTAATTTGACTAGTAAGTACCTGTTCCTCCAATTCTCGTATTTTATCATCCTTCAGTTTTAAAGTCCTCTTCTCCCTGGAATAATACTAATCAGAGGGTGAAAAACATGGGAAACTAGAACAAACAGTAATAAACTAGATTAGATGGTTATACGTTGTTTTGTCAATAAAAAATAGGAGTGATCAGTTTCAGGAATATGCACAAAAGTGGGCTGGCGATGGCCAAGAATACGGCCTTCATAACACCACTTGACAATAGGATGAATCACAAACCATAGGGAGCTGTTTTCTAAAGCCAAATGGATGGTAATATGATGGACCGCATATCAAGAAGTCCATTATAGACATTTTTAGTTCTTCCTAATATCACGATACTGTTTAAATAGTAATATCAACAACATTGCTTGATAATTCAACAGCAAACATCATATGCAAATTCCAATTCGAATTTCACTCAATTGTAATTTTCCAATGAATTCATATAGTAGGACAATACACTATTGGAGAAACCCAATTTACTTCCCAATGGTTCATTTACAACATAAAATTTTCATTCTTGATTGCTAACAGAAGACAGGGCTATAAGAATTAACAGTCAATTTGACATGATATAATCATAACATATCTCCACAGGATTCTCATAACTAATCCTCCTGTGACTACCATCATAATCACCCTACGTTTTATTTACCATATCAAGGACCTCCACTCTATAGAAATCAGATGTTTGAAACAAATTGAAAAGAAGACGTCATGTTTATTTAATTCTCTATTGATTCCTTTTTGGATAAGAGGTATGTGAACCTCAGGAGATTCCACCAGTTTACCAATATTTGGATAAGAGGTATGTGAACCTCAGCGGATTACACCAGTTTACCATTATGAAAATCTAGATTGTAGTAGATATGCGAAAAAATCAATCATCCCATACAAGCTTCAGAACTGACGACAAGTAGAGGAAGGTAGTCATACCTTTCTTCAATTTCCACTATGCTTGCCTTCAATATGTCCTGATTTTTCAAAAGACTCTTGTTCATCTACATGCAGAAGGAAACAGCTTACAAATTTTCTTCTCATGAACTAAAACATCTACTTGTCAATTTGTATAATAACTAACCATAGACAAAGATTCTCAAACTCACTTACAATCAACAAAGAAAAATACCTCATCAAAAAAATTCTTCTCTTGATCACATTTATCCAGCTTGGCTTGCATCTTCTGCAGTTTCTGATTGCCACTGGCAGCCTTCTCAATGGCTTCAGATATTTCCCTTTCAGCTTCTTCTTCAACTTCTCTCAGTAAAGACTCAAAATACTAGGAGCAAAGGAGAGGCTATTATTACGATAAACAGAGAAAAATTCTCCAAAACTATCTGCCCCTACCAAGAAATCGTAATAGACTAGGAAAAGAAAACACCAGAAAATCAAACTCCAGGGACACCTTAAAAGTTGGTAATGTCAACTTGAATGCCAAGCTGAAGCACAAAATTCAATCCCAACTCATATTAGGTTATATAAATCAAAGAATGGACTTACTATTTTTTGGTTCTCAAGCTGGGTAGTAAGAAGTTCATTGTACTCATTGACAATCTGCTGATAAAGTTTAAAATAAGCATTGCAGATTAAAGGCAAAATAACGTTAACCGGAAAATAAAATAAAAATGAGAGAATGAACTAAACATGAAAAACAAGAGTCAAACAAAGCAAATGATAAATGCATTGCAGATTAAAGGCAAAATAACGTTAACCGGAAAATAAAATAAAATAAAATAAAAATGAGAGAATGAATTAAAGATGAAAAACATGAGTCAAACGAAGCAAATGTTAAATAAAAGCATTACATTTCTACTTTACTGTTCAATAGAGTCTCACTAAATCCAGTATCTACACTGCAGTTGCAACTACCACAACCATCCCAAGAACACACACCCAGGTTGAAATGCCATCAACAAAGAACCACCAAGCTCTTCAAAACTCATAGCATATCATGAACAAACATTCTTAAACAACTTACAATTACTTAGTAAGCATTTTCACTCGAAGATAGAGTAAACTAAATACGTAGACCCTCACGGAAATAAATACTCGACTCTCATGTGTTTGAAGGTTATGTGTTTCGCTCAAATTCATTCCAAAGGGAATGATCTACCATAGGCTTGCATATCTTCTCATTCTCCACCACTGGGATCACATGCATAACACGAATCAAAAGGACTTTTCAAGGGTTGTAACAGGGTTTACAATGAAGGCAGGAAATATTTGGGAGTGTTGCTCAAAAGGCCATCGAAACTAGTGGAGCAAACACGAATTAACTCAAGCTCGAATGTATAAGACATGTAAAACCAATCACTCCATTCAGCAGCTTCTTCAATTTGGCTTGAAAGCATTTAAAGCATGTAAAACTCCCATATTGAAAAAGAGATCGTTCAAAAAGAACACTTTTCGTTTGCAGCAGGGAAAGATCCTTCGCAGCCGCTCCCACCTTGTATATATCATGTATAAACAGAGGGTTGTAACAGGGTTTACAATGAAGGCAGGAAATATTTGGGAGTGTTGCTCAAAAGGCCATCGAAACTAGTGGAGCAAACACGAATTAACTCAAGCTCGAATGTATAAGACATGTAAAACCAATCACTCCATTCAGCAGCTTCTTCAATTTGGCTTGAAAGCATTTAAAGCATGTAAAACTCCCATATTGAAAAAGAGATCGTTCAAAAAGAACACTTTTCGTTTGCAGCAGGGAACGATCCTTCGCAGCAGATCCCACCTTGTATATATCATGTATAAACAGACCCCTTTATTGGAATTTTAGGAGGGATTTTGAACATGGACAGTTTGTTATATCAGAAACAATTTCCTCCATCACTTCTTTTTTTTTTCTTTTTTTTTTCTTTTTTCTTTTTTTTCCTTCTTTTAACAAACACACGAGTTAAGAATGAGAACATGTTCCATTTCTCCAGTCATAGCCATACCACAAATTCAGAAACCCCATACACTTATAACTTGCACACCCGCATTTATCATAATGATGAACAATGCTCCGCTAGCTTTATGGCTTGGGTAAAGGCGCTTTTTTTTTTCGGGTTTAAAGCTTGTAACGTGGGTTCACAATAAACAAAAAATAAAATAAAATAAGGCTCAAAGGGGTTCAACAAAGGGAAAAATTAATTACAAGGTAGGCTATTTGGCTTATGTAGCTTTTAACAAAGAGAGCCTTAATCATGTTTATGCATGCATGTGCCAATATGACCTCGAAGAGAATCAAGGCAAGTTCTAGAGAAACAAATCCATGGAAAAATATCCCTCATGAAAGAACATAGTGAGACTGATATGGTTGCATCACTTTACAGGCTCAAAATCTCACCGGCTTTCGTGCCGTCCTTCTCTACCACCGACGAAGATCTGAAAACCCTTGGCTAGAATGAACCGCGATGGCTAGAAAGATAGAGAAAGAGAGAACCTAGCTCACCACTTTGTTTCTTTCTGTCCAAACTCCCAATTCTTTCTCTCATCACTTTCTCTCTTTAAAAGTCATGGCACCAGCATCTGAGCAACACAAACTCCAAAATGGTCTATGTAATGGATGCCGGGCAAGAGAAGAGAAATGCTATAAAGGTGGTGATGATCGGAAATGAGTGAGGTGACTGCTGGTGGTCGAAAATGGCAAAGGTTAGGGTTGAGTTGGTTGGGAGGGAGGGAGGGAGGGAGGGAGAAATGGAAGGGTGTGTTAGTAATTTGATTGAAGGATAGAAATGTAATAAAAAAATTTAGAGAAAAGATATGCACTGAGTTAATCAAGTGTGTGGAAATAGAATTTCCCGCTTGTTTTGGAAAGATGGAAAAAAAATTCCTTTTTTGTTTGTTTGTTTGTTTTTTTATTTTAAAAAAAAATGCATTTGTGAAGTCTTGAAGTACTTGGCCAACATAAACAAATAAATCATGCCAAGAAGATTTAAGTTACTTACGGGACAAGAAGAATCTGCCCATTTAGAAATACAAGAGCAATGGAAAGAATGATTGCAGATAGTTGTGAGAATTCCACTCATGTCTTGCTCCAATCTCTCTGCAACAAAGGAGAAAAATAAGTGAAATCTCTCTGCAACAAAGAAGAAAAATATGACATTTTGCATTCTCATCAAATTTCCCACACTTATCTTTTGCTCGTCCTTGGGCAAAACTCTAATTCACTTTCCCAAGAACACACACCCAGGTTGAAATGCCATCAACAAAGAACCACCAAGCTCTTCAAAACTCATAACATATCATGAACAAACATTCTTAAACAACTTACAATTACTTAGTAAGCATTTTCACTCGAAGATAGAGTAAACTAAATACGTAAACCCTCACGGAAATAAATACTCGACTCTCATGTGTTTGAAGGTTATGTGTTTCGCTCAAATTCATTCCAAAGGGAATGATCTACCATAGGCTTGCATATCTTCTCATTCTCCACCACTGGGATCACATGCATAACACGAATCAAAAGGACTATTCAAGGGTTGTAACAGGGTTTACAATCAAGGCAGGAAATATTTGGGAGTGTTGCTCAAAAGGCCATCGAAACTAGTGGAGCAAACACGAATTAACTCAAGCTCGAATGTATAAGACATGTAAAACCAATCACTCCATTCAGCAGCTTCTTCAATTTGGCTTTAAAGCATTTAAAGCATGTAAAACTCCCATATTGAAAAAGAGATCGTTCAAAAAGAACACTTTTAGGAGGGAGCAGGGAACGATCCTTCGCAGCAGCTCCCACCTTGTATATATCATGTATAAACAGACCCCTTTATTGGAATTTTAGGAGGGATTTTGAACATGGACAGCTTGTAATATCAGAAACAATTTCCTCCATCACTTCTTTTTTTTTTCTTTTTTTTTCTTTTTTTTTTCTTTTTTTTCCTTCTTTTAACAAACACACGAGTTAAGAATGAGAACATGTTCCATTTCTCCAATCATAGCCATACCACAAATTCAGAAACCCCATACACTTATAACTTGCACACCCGCATATATCATAATGATGAACAATGCTCCACTAGCTTTATGGCTTGGGTAGAGACGTTGTTTTTTTTTTTTTTTTCGGGTTTAAAGCTTGTAACGTGGGTTCACAATAAACAAAAAATAAAATAAAATAAGGCTCAAAGGGGTTCAACAAAGGGAAAAATTAATTACAAGGTAGGCTATTTGGCTTATGTAGCTTTTAACAAAGAGAGCCTTAATCATGTTTATGCATGCATGTGTCAATATGACCTCGAAGAGAATCAAGGCAAGTTCTAGAGAAACAAATCCATGGAAAAATATCCCTCTTTTTTTTTTTTTTTTTCTTTTTTTTCCTTCTTTTAACAAACACACGAGTTAAGAATGAGAACATGTTCCATTTCTCCAGTCATAGCCATACCACAAATTCAGAAACCCCATACACTTATAACTTGCACACCCGCATTTATCATAATGATGAACAATGCTCCGCTAGCTTTATGGCTTGGGTAAAGGCATTTTTTTTTTTCGGGTTTAAAGCTTGTAACGTGGGTTCACAATAAACAAAAAATAAAATAAAATAAGGCTCAAAGGGGTTCAACAAATTGAAAAATTAATTACAAGGTAGGCTATTTGGCTTATGTAGCTTATAACAAAGAGAGCCTTAATCATGTTTATGCATGCATGTGTCAATATGACCTCAAAGAGAATCAAGGCAAGTTCTAGAGAAACAAATCCATGGAAAAATATCCCTCATGAAAGAACATAGTGAGACTGATATGGTTGCATCACTTTAAAGGCTCAAAATCTCACCGGCTTTTGTCTACCAAATTTAGTCACTACCATTCTCAAGGAAAATAACTAGACTAATTAATTCTAAGCTGGAAGATTACTTATTCAATCATGTTATGAATTGTTGAAGCTTAATTGAATATTGCTCATGACATACACAACCAAAAAAAAAAATGTTGAAAACCATAAAAACAAAAAGCAAAATTCTTTTTTTTTTAAAAAAAAAATAAATAAATTAAAAAACCTAAATCCCGTCCCCCACACTTCAAACTTACAGTGTCCCTAATGTAAGGTGATATGCAAAGAAAAGGCAAAAATAACCAAAATATAAATGCGAGAATAAGAAAACAAACTCCCCTTGGGTTCCTCCCAAGCAGTGCCTTTCTACTTTAATTAGTATAAATTGGATCCTCAAGGTCCAATTGTTCCACATTCTGTACTTGGAAGCCTTCATAGAAAGTCTTAAGTCTATGGCCATTCACCTTGAACACTTTGGAAGTTGCTAAACTTTGAATTTCAACTGCACCATGAGGAAAAACATTAGAAACTACAAAAGGTCCAATCCAACGAGAACGTAACTTACCTGGAAACAAACGAAGCCGTGAATGGTATAGAAGAATTTTTTGACCAACATTAAACTCCTTCCGAGAGATCATCCTATCGTGAAAAGCCTTTGTCATTTCCTTGTAAATCATTGCATTCTCATAGGCATCATTGCGAATTTCCTCTAACTCTTGTAGTTGCAACTTCCTGTGTTCTCCACTTTCATCCATTTTCATGTTGAAACTCTTAATAGCCCAATAAGCCATGTGTTCTAACTCAATTGTCGGTCCCACATTCTTCTAATCTTTGTTTTTAGTCACACGAGTAATATTTGATAGAGATGAGACAGAGAGTGAAACAGATGATCGGTGGTCGCTTCTTGCTTACTTGTAAAGTGTAGGATTGGATAGTCTTGGTGTTAGGATTGCCATGAGAGGCACTCTTTTCTTCAACCCAATCCCAAACTTCTCTGAAAGGTCTAATTTCTCTCCCTCGGGCAATTTCCAATCAAATGAGTGCAAAATTGAAACCAATGAGAACAAGAACTATGGGAGAAGACTGTGTGCAAGGATGTTCTTGTTCTCATTGGCTTCAATTTTGCACTCATTTGATTGGAAATTGCCCGAGGGAGAGAAATTAGACCTTTCAGAGAAGTTTGGGATTGTGTTGAAGAAAAGAGTGCCTCTCATGGCAATCCCAACACCAAGACTATCCAATCTTACACTTTACGAGTAAGCGAGAAACGACCATCGATCATCTGTTTCACTCTCTGTCTCATCTCTTCCAAATATTACCCGTGTGACTAAAAACAAAGATAAGAAGAATATGGGACCGACAATAGTACAGGGAGTGAAATAAATGAACTCAACCTGCTAGCAAAGTAAAAATGATATATTGTAATAGTGGTTGCACTTTAAAAATCTAATGCAATTCTTTTTGGGATATTTACCAATAAATCTTATCTTACAAACAAGTATTCTAATTAATCTCAAATTTTTTCTATTGATTTGTTACCATGGAGATATATGTTCCTCAAATCCAAGCTTGCACCTGATCAATAATAATAATAATAAACTGTATCTTAAGAAATGTATAATTTTCCTGCAGTCACCAATGTGACTAGGCTTAAAGTGACATGTTACTTGCAACAAAACTATCAAAGACATGCCATGATCTTAAAAATTCTGCATACAGTTATTTGATTTCAGAAAATGATGACAAAAAATATAAGGATTTCATATGAATGGATACCTCATCAGCCAAATTAAAGCATTTTTTTAATTTGTCATCAAATTCTTTTTCCTTCTCATCTACTTGCCTAGTCAGTAGGATAACTAAAAGTATGAAGCAAAATTATCACAACTTACAAAGCTGAAAAAAAGAGCTTGCACTATTGAAAATGAACCCCCAAAAAAAAAAGTTACAAGAAATTGGGGTATAAGTTAATGTGTCCATACAAAAAGGATTGTAATATTGCGTACCAAAAAAAGAAATATAACTTTGGGAGGGGGGGTTCAACTTGTTTATGGAAAAGGAATATGATCCTACATTCAGAAGATATTTCAATTCCCCAAAGAGCAAAAAGTTCAAAAAATATTTAAATTTAAAATAAACAGGGAAATTTGGTCGGAGGACTGGGATACTTGGTCAGGAAAATGGTGCCATTATGCTGAGTTCTTGTCAATGACATTGACATCATCACATTGCCTATTGACTTAAAATCTTGATCACAGCACACCCATCTTATCTCCACACCCTCCCGTGAGAATGACTGCACTACACCACTCACTTCTTTTAACAGTGTTAACAACTTCACTCTTCCATTTCCTCTACTAAATCAAATTAATGAACGTTATGAATTGACCTGAATTCCATCTCTGTAACAATTCTTTTAAGTTTTTATTCTAGGTCTTTTTAGACAACAATCATTCCCAAAGTTGTCTCTTCACCCCCTCTTTTTATCAGCATGCTCGTTTACTCTCCTTTGTCTATTAAGTTGATCTTTTTCCTACATGCACAGAACTTGACAGAAGATACCTGTAAGGCTGCTGAGACGTTCTTAAGTCTTGAATCTTTTAAGCCAGTTCCAGATACAAAAGCTACATCTGTTCTGAAAGAAATCCTACCCGAGATCTGCATAAAAACCAGAAAAGCATATGGGGTAGAAGAGAAATGGAAACCTGAGAATGGCAATCATAGTCCGTGGACACCTGTAACCTGTTACCTCCCTGACTGCCTACCTGAAATACTAAAATGTTTGAAGATTCATTGGAAGTGTCTGAGAGTTGCAAACGACCAAAAATCACAAACAAATTTTCTTCGAGGCTCATCTTTTGTTTCTAGATTGAGGTGGAAGAATCGAAATAGTAATGGCATGGGGTTGAGATTTAAAAAATCATGCAGCTAATTTGAGGGTGACCTAATCTAGAAACAAATTTATGTTTAATGTTCATTATAACTAAAGATGATCCTTCACCTAATTAGACAGCATTTTCATTTTAGGTCTTTCCACTTCATCTAAAAGCAAAATCATGAAAAAAATTGTGATCTTGCCATTGAATTAAGATGGTCAGTACTAAGATTGTAAGATAGCAAAGCATTGCCGACTTTCCAAAATGGCCCAAATAGCTACTTTCTAGATGTGAATCAACAAGTAAGAATGCTTGATTACTATTCACTATTCAAATCTTAGACTTATGTAGTTTTCCCCTAGGCAATAGAGTATTCATAGAACAAATAAAACTAATAGAGTAATATAATTCAACAGCGATTCGTAGCTCGAATTTACCAAGGCCCGAATGGCTCGAGGTCGTTTTGGCACCATTTTTTTTTTTTTTCTCTCCTTCCTTCCCCTCTCTTCCTTCCTCTGTTCTAAATCCAAACTCAAATCACTTCCTTTGTTCTGAATCCAAACTCAAATCAAAATCAAAATCAAATTTTTTTATTTTTTATTTTTCCTTCCCCCTCTCTTCTTCCTTTTCTTCCTTTCCCCTCTCTTTTTCCTTACTATTCTGGCCGGCCGACAGATTTAAAAGAAAGAAAGGAGGAAGAACAGATTCGGCCAACAAATTTAAAAGAAAAGAAAGGAGGAAGAACAGATTTGTAAAAAAAAAAAAAATAACAAACAAAGAAAAGAACAGAGAGTAGAGAGAGGAGAACAGATCTGTGTGTTACTGTTAAGCACGCCTTGGGTAATCATGGATTATTGATCGGTTATCATATTAAACCCATAGGGGCGGGGTTGGGTCGTGACATATAAGCAGAAATTGGTCCATAACCAAAACAAAAAAACCAAAGTCTTAAATACAAAAACATGGCCACGGGACTTGACATGATCAGGGACCTCCTCGGGAGACACAAAGGGTGGCTGACAAACACAAAACTCTTTAGGCAATCTTAAGCTTGGTCACGCGCCTGGTCACCTACATATAAAATATAAATAATAAACAGGAGCCTAGTGAATAATAACAAAGTAAAAGGTTTTAATGAATGATATCTGTCACCCTTCATCTTTTCCTCTGCAACATCAATCTATACCAAAAAATACAATCAATGCACATTGTAAAAATTGAAGTTCATCATTATTGAAACTAAAAAACTTTCTTGATTCATATTTATTTATTTTTTAGTCAATTTTTTTTTTAAAAAAAACTTTTTAGGTAGTCTTGACTGGATTATTCTAAAAAACAAAATAAAAAATAGGGTTAATTTTGAAAAAAAATTTACTAAAATAAAAATAAGCCAAATTTTATATTAATAAAAAAAACTTACAAAAATTGGCTTGTTTTTATTGTTTTTGCTAAAGTTTTTTCATTATAAAATTTTAATTGTTTAGATAGGGATCTATAAGTAAGAAAATTAATTTATGATACAAGTTTTATCAAAAAAAAAAATAATAATAATAATTTCTAAGATAGGTTTCTATAAGTAAAAAAGAAAACATAATTTTGAAAAAGGTAAACTAAAAATAAAAATAGCCTAATCTAAGGTATGCTTTTGATACTCAAGCTTGTGAGTTTAGTACTTGATTTATCTTTGAGAGATATACTGACTTGATCGTCGGAGTGCCCCCGGGTGGTCGAAACCACCGCGGGATTCTTATATTTCTGTTGCAAGTCAGCCAGGTGCCATCTATTCTACCAGTGCTCTCCAGCTGGTTACTAAGCGGGCAGTGTGGTCGGAAAATCACCCACACACATAAGAAAAAAAAAAGTTACAAATAATATATACCCTGGCTTGATTGGCAGCCTCCATCTGAGTTTTCTGCCCCAGATAAGAAAAATACTCATGCCCTCTCACATCAACCAACTGCTTAACGTTAGCATTATAAATATGAAGCCCAAACTGATCAAGTTCAAGTTGAACCTTATCAAAAACCTCCTTCTTAAACTCCTTAGTCCCCTTAAAGATCTGCTCCATAGTCATTGAGGCAGCGAGAACTCGAGTCTCGCCTTCGATGACTCCCTGCACAAGCTCCGTGACGTGGTTCGAGAGCTTGTCGTGTGGGGATATGAGCTTTGTGTACTTCAACATGCTCTCTTCACAGTCGACCCTGGGGCCGATTGTGAAGACAGCAGGAAGTATGAATGGGAGTTTCTCTGCGCTCATAGCCTGCACTTCGAAGGTGTAGTTGACTGGCGAGATGTCGACTCGGGTGAACTTTTGGCCCGGCCATATCCACTTCTTTTTGGCGAGCTTGATGTCGGGGATTCCGCAGCCGGTGACGGCGAGGACCTCTGATGGGCCGGCGATGAAATACATGGTTTGATTGATTTCTAGAGAGAACGAAAAAATGAGAGAGAGAGGGAGAGAGAGAGAGTGTTAGGCGTATGAGGAAGAAGTTATATGGAGAAGATTTGGAATAGGGGAAGATTTATGGAGAAGATTTGGAATAGAGGATGTGTTTGCTTGTTTGATTTGTGGACGTGTGTGGATGCGAAATTTGAGTTTTTATGGAACTAAGCGACTTTCTCGCTGGATTATAGAGTTGGTTTGGAAAAGATTGACAGGTGTTAGAGACCTAAATAAATTACCAAATAAATTATCAAATTTTTTAAATGGGTGAGACCACACAAATCACATGAGTAGATTTTACATTCATGTGAGAGATTTGATTATCTATTTAATAATTTATTTAGGATTCATAACATTTTTTAAAGATTTTTATTATCACACAAAATCTATCTATTTATATATATCTATTAAGGTCTCGTTTGGGAACATATTATTTTAAAGGTAAATTACAAATACACCTTTTGATGTTTGCTTAAAATATAAATTAGTCATTGTGGTTTGAAAAATTACAAATAGCTTTGATTTGAATTTTTCATTTAATAGAATTAACAAAAAAAATAAAATTCATAATTACTTTCATATACAATAATAAAATTATTTAAATTATTAATTGAAACATATTTTTGAAACAATTGTGATAGAGATCCCATACATACATGACCCCACAACCCTCACTATCATACTAACCACTCATAATGTGGGCCCACACATATATGAGTGGACCCACACATATATCAAGGGCCAAGATCAAATTGGAGGTCATGGAACCCCCAAAAAAGGGATCCAAACATTTCTCTTTTTAATACCTTTAAAAATTGTTAATTGACTTAATGATTTATTAATAAAAAGGCAATTTGTTATGAAATTAAAAATCTCAGCGGATGGAATGTAATTTTCAAAACTACAGGGGCGATTCGTATTTTAATAAAACCTTATGGGGTGTATTTGTAATTTACCCTTATTTTAATAATTTTTTTGACTCTTTACGAAAATATATGCAAAAAAAAAAAAGAAAAGAAAAAGAAGAAGAGAGAATAATATGATAATTTATAATAAATTTTTGATTTTTTAAATGTTTAATATATATTATTTGGTCGATAAATGGGCTTAAATATTTCAAAAAAAACTTGCACTATAACATATAAAAGTTTTAGAAGATGAATTTTTTGATCTCTAAAAGTGAAAATTTTATTGTAAAAGATATTTAGGGATCAATTTCCATCATTGTGAGGATAGTCACTAAAATGCTATTTTGAAAAGTCAAAAATAAGGTTTTTAGCGATAAAATTTTGAAAATGTAACTAATAAATAGACTTTTAAAGATAAAATAATTTGATCTCAAAATGATTTATTTTTTGAGATAAAAAATTTATTCCCAAAAGGATAATAATTTATCACTAATATCCAATTTTTGTTGCTAAAAATATAATAACGCTTTTCATAATAAAAATATTTAATCTCTAAAAAATAATTTTATCCCTAAATTTTAGTCTTTAAAATTTAAATTTTTTGTTAGTGTTATAGTGAGGCATGCTGGCCCTGTTTGGTGTAGCTGTTAAAGCAGATTATAATTTAACAGATTATGGATTGTGACTTTAATCAGAAACTGTTAATCTTTTTTGGTGTAATTATTGGATTATAAATTTAAGTTGCTGAGTAGTGTTTGTTAAATAAGTTTTGAAGTAACTTTTTCAATTAAATTTTATTTTTTATTATTCACTATTTGTTTATATTTCTCATAAAAAACAATCAGTGTGTTTGGTTTCAGTTTTTTAAATTCAATTTTCTGAAAACTGAGTTTTTTTGTTTTTCGTTTTGCTTTGTTTTTAGTGAATATTTTTAAAATTTGAAGTAATTTTTTTTTACTTTTTTACATTCACCTTACTTAGATGTATCTAAAATAGTAAAATATTTGTGAAAAGATATTTTAAAAAATTAATAAATACACAAAAATACAAAAATATACTAAATTTTTGTATTTTCTTTTGTATTTTTTTGGTATTTAGTGTATTTTTTAAATATTTTTTTCACAAATATTATACTTTTTAAGTGTATATATGTTACGTGTGTCTAAAAATTAAAAAAAATATTTAAAATATTAAAAAAAATCGTTGAAAATATTAAAATACGAAAAATAAAAAAGTAGAATTTTCTGAAAACTATTTTCTGAAAATTAGAACCAAACAAGCTGAATAATAATAATCTATAGTCCATTTGGGTCTTTTTCTATTTTAAAAAAAATAAAAAATAAAAAAATCTAAGAGTATAACCATAAATTAACATGTCCAAAGCAGATGTTGATAATCAGAAACAAGGGGTGAGCAACTTCTCTGAATTAACTTTTTTGAATTAAAATAAATTATTAGAATAAAAAACTGTTTGAAATAAATTTAACCAAACAGTTCAAAATAATTTTTTAAAAACTAAAAATTATAAATTAACTCAAAAAAAATCCAAACAAACACCCCCATATGCTTGCATTCATCAGTGTCAATCCCAAAAGTCAATTAGAATGTTAAAGGGATGCACCACTTTAATAACGAGGCTCATAGTTAATGGATGAATTACACTCACGCCCTTTGAAATTTAGATTTAATACATATTATTTTTTGACGTTTGGAAAATTATATTGACCCTCTGTCATTATTTAAACGGAATGAAAATATTAAATTCAAGCACTCTCTCTTTTCTTGTTTTGTTTTATTTCCTCTACGTTTTTTTCCTTTAATTTGCATTACTTTTTTTTTTTCAATATAATTTCTCCTGTTTTTCTATTAGGAGTTATTGCCTTTTATATAAGTAGGGGGTTGTAAAATGAGACTATTAATCATAAGGGTATAAATGTAATTTTCAAAACATCAGGAAATAGAATGTAATCGGACCAAATTTCAAGAATATTAGTGTAATTTACCCTAGTTTAATATTATTTGTCTTGGATGCATTAGATTTTATTTTTGTTGTTTTGTTTGAATTTAATTTAGTTTTTGTTTATCATTTCTATTTTAATAGTATGCACATAATTTTGTTTGGCCCATTCATGCACTACTTTTCCTATTATTATTCCATTTATTTGTTTCATACTTTTTGGTATTAGCCGAAATAAGGCCAACTTTGGTAAGTTGCCAAAAAATCAAAAGTCAAAAAGTTACTCAAAAAGTTAAAAAGTTATTATTTTTCACCAAAAGTTAAAAATTACAGCTGCACAATTTTCAATCCTAATTTTTTCCTACACACCCCTACACACTCATTTATATAATTTTTTAATACACATTTTTCCATAAAAAGTTAATCCAAACATTCATATTTTTTTCTCAATTTTTTAGTATAAAAAGACAAAAAATACACTTATTTAGGATACTCTAAAAGTATGTTAATCTATTAATGCATAGCAATAATGAAAATATTATGAGTGAAGAATATTTTTCAAAGACTAATGAAAATTGAAATTGAAATTTTAAAACTCTTACCAAATATCTGTCCATAATTTATGACATGCCTTTTTTTAAAAAGAAACTTACACATCTAATAAGGAAATCTCTCTTATCCCTTCCCAAAATAAAAACCCACACAATTAAGGAAACTTGTCATTGGTCTAATCATAAAAAATTAAATTTAAAATCTATATATCTATATCTATACTATATTTTAAATTTTTGTGGGAAGCATTGTGAAGACTTTCACCCAAATTTGTGAATTTTTTAATTAAAAAATAATTTTAAAAAAAACACTATGGACTAACTTATCTATCTATACTGCATATAGGTGTCGTTTGGGAAATGAGTTGGATTTTTAACTTTTTGACTTTTTTGGCTATTTTAGCCTAGGCTAAAGAACTTTGTTTGGGAATGGTTTTTTTGACTTTTTTGACTTTTTTTGTGAGAAAATAGTGTAATGATTATGGGTTGGATGTGATGCTTTGTTTGTTGGGACTAAAATAACATATTTTGTTTTTTGTGGCTATTTTAGTCCCAAACCAAGTTCCCTGCAAAATATTATTGGGTCTTTAAGCACTAAAAGCTCTATTTTCTTAGATTTTTTAAATTTATAAAATATGAAAAACACATGTCACGTAACTATTAATTCTTTTATTATAAAATAATTATTAATTGTTTAATTAATATATTAAACTCTGTTAATTCTTGACATGTATAAGAAAATTAAATCATATTTCTATTTCATCCAACCCATATTCTTTTTGACTATTCCATTAGATCCTATTTGAGATAAGAATACCAAAACACCCTTAATCTCTCTTGCTCCTATTAATGTTGATATTTAATGTTGATTGTCATTATGATTTGATAGTTCTCATGCATCAGAATGTTGACTGTCATTGTATGCATATTAATTTGAAATGAATATTCACATCATGATATTCGCATTAATTTAAAATGAATTTTTGTCATTGTATTGTCAATCACATGATGTGAATATATTCACACTAAAACATACGAATGTGAACGTTCACATCACTATATTAATGAGAGAGAATGTTCACATGTTGTGAATGTTCACATTACTACATATTGTGAATAAGAATGTGTTGTTAATTAAAAATATAATGAACGTTATTTTTAATGTGTTGTCAATTAAAAGTAAGAAGGTTCACATATTGTGAACGTCCACATCACTATATTAGATGAGAGAGAATTTTTCGAAAAATGTGTTATGAACATTCACATAAGATGAGAGAGAATGTTCACATTATTTTTAACGTGTTGTCAATTAAAAATATATTTATATTATCTAATAATATAAAATAATAACATCAATGTTATTTAATTTGTTTATAAAATATTAATATCATTAAATATTAATTATTAATAGTAAATATAAGGGCATAAGAGCCTAAGAAATAATGTAAATCAATAAAAAAGGATTTTATGGAATAAAAGTAGAAACGGTGGTACTACATGCACCAATTAGTATACACATTAATGTACTAACTAGTGTTATATTATCATTAA